GAGAGAGATTCACTCCATTACGTATAAGAACCAATCGGTCTGAATGGCACACACACTCTGAGAGCGAGGGAGAGGCAAAGCTCCAATGGAATGAAAGGAAGGAGGAGGAAGCTGACGAGACCTGGACAAGTTGGATCCAAACTGTCCGACGATGACATGGCTGAATGACAACATGAGCACGTCCACGAGCCATGCTGGCGTGCTGGTCAGGTCGAGCTGGGCAGAGTCGTCGCCTTCACCTCTTGTCATGTCCTCGGCGTGAACCTCCCCTCGGCTGACCCTTCCTTCGAGCCTGCAGGGAAGATCAGCAGCTGCTGCTGTCGGTGTGGGCGATGGGGAGAACGATGATGGTGGAGAAAGTTGAAGGCCGTGACCACGTGTTTGTGTTGGTGATGATGGTGAATATTTGTATGACAAGGAGGAGTGGGAGACAAACAACGACACAAGGAGGAAGGGCAAGAGAAAGCAAAGGAGCATGAAAGGAACACGTGAGGAGATGTTGGAGGGGGGAAGGACAGGAAGAAGGAAACAAGATTGAGCAGATTCCTCTACCAGCAGTCGCTTGTCACGCCGCTACACTGAGAAAGAATGGAGCGATCGAAGGCGAGGTTGCTGGTGAACTGTGACTCGTCACTCCTTGCAACTGCACGTGACATGTCGACAAACCTCCAAGTCAGGACAGAGAAGCTGAGCTTGCCGGGCCACTTCCGGGTCGTCCGACGCCACGAAGACCTGAGCAACGGAGGCAGGACGAAGGTCAAGCACTGACGTGAATCGCATCATGACATGGCATCAAGATCATGTTGTCATGCTCGTGATCGTGTCAAGATTTCATCTTGTTCTATATCATCACAGTTTCATCTCACCTTCTTCAGCTTGTACCTTCTTGCAACCAGTCTCAACGCCTGCCGTGCTGCCATTCACAGAGAGAAAGGGGGGCTGGAAGGGGGAGGGAGAGAAGAACTCCTCTGTGCTTTCCTGCACGTGTTGTTCGATGTTGGGACATTTCCCGATCCTCAGTTCATCTTGCACATGAAGCCGAACATGCCAGCCTGCACAACAAATTTGACACGTCGACTCATCAAATGTGTCACACCGATGAACGGCTCTGTCAGGTTGAAATCTTTTCTCAGCTCCCGCAGCCTGAGAGAGGCAGGTCAGGACAAGACAAGGTGGAAAGAGGAGCTACGGACCTGAGAGACTGCTGGACGGAATGTTTGATCCGGAAGATGTATCTGACCAATGACATTCGCGTCCATAGCTTCCCTCTTCTCCTTCTCCTGCAACGTCCTACTTCACCACCTTGCTATATCGCACACACACTCCCGCACTTGTTGAAGAGGTCGACTGGTTGAGAAGAAAAGTCTTCCGGTTCCTTGGAGTGTGTCAGCCTGACGCTGCCATGATCGCTAGTGTTTACCTCCACATGGATAGGAAGAGAGCCGTGAAGGTTGTCGGCTGCTCCAGAGATCAGCAGAGTTCAGACTTGAGAGCTTCAAAGGAATTTACCCTCTCTTGCAGACTGAGCAGAACAGCCGGAAAAGTCCTGATTAGAAAGACAATCGTGTTATGGACATGTTGAGGAAGTTTTGAAGAGGGGGCAGTTTAGCTGATGTCATCATCATATAATCATCATATCATCATCATCATCATCCTCATCACCATCATCATCTTTTTTACACTCCTCCTCCTCTTCCTCCTCCTCCTCCTCCTCATCATCATCATCATCAAATCTCTTATTCAACAAGATCTGCTTATCAGCTTGCAATCTCATCACCTCAAAGATGCAACTGAAGTTGTTGAAAGGACAGTGCCCAAACACAAACTTTGTCTTGTCGGACACCACCTGATCGACATCTTCATCTCACCAGTCACTCATTCTTCAGATGTTTTACCATGGCCTTGCCGTAGGACATTGAGATGTGAAGGAGACCTGACAGATAGAAGACAATGGCAGACAGACCGGTGTTGTCCCAGGAGAATGTCTGCATATCATCATCATCATCATCATCATCATCATCATCATCATCATCATCATCATCATCATCATCATCATCATCATCATCATCATCATCATCATCATCAACAACATCAACAACAAGCAGCAGCAGCTCAAACAACAATGCCTCTTTCATCATCCCTACTATCCCATTCAAAACACCTAAGAGAGAATTCTCTGACCATCACATTCTCCGTTGTACACGTGCTCGGATTTTGCAAACCCTCGAGCTCCCTGTCAAGTGCATCTAACGAAGACCTTCAGACAACACAAATGTCATGATAGGCAAACGAGCAATCAACTCGTCTATAAGAATTGAACCTGCTCCACCACCCCTCATCGTCTCCTTCGTCCATCCAACGATCTCCATGCTCATCTGCCCTTGGCCCAGTCACAGCGAAGAAAGAGGAAAGGACTTGTCACCGCTGGCAAGGAGAGGATGCAGAGGCGGGAGGAAGAAAGGAGCGTGAAGTACATTGTCACTGCAATCATCGCCCACGAAGTCTCCGTCCCAACACACACAACGTCCTGTCGCATCTCAACTTGTAGCGAGAGCAACATGAGGTAACCTTGATAGCAGTTCCCGTATCTGCACGACTTCTCGCAATGTTTGAAGTCTGTCGACCAAACCTTGACCTGTGTACGAGAGTTCAACCTTTGTCAACCTCCACACTTTCCATCCCACCTCACTGACTTGGAGCTCCTTCATGTCCAGCTCAACGTCAGCAGATGGAGCAAGGAGCGTAATCTGCTCAACAGCATCACACCGACCATGTTCGTCCTCAAAGACTCAGAGGTCACCACAACAACGTCGGCTCGGATCTCCTCAGTGCCTTGCTCTGATGAAAACCAGCTGTACACATCATATCGCTCCATCCCATCCCCCTCCTGGACTGTGATCCTCTCCACCACCATCCCTTCCTCCAACCGGTCCCTCCCTCCGGGAACGAGCTGCGTGTTGTACAAGGAGACCTCGAACGGTGCAAGCGTGTAGCCTTGACTGACAATCTCTGGATACTGTTGATGTCCCATCAGCAAGACATGCAAACAGACATCTCATGCTGCTCTTTACCTCACCATAGGGCAAGAACGAAAGTGGTCCCATGATATCCAGTCCTTTCACTGTCTGCACACCCTCCAAGTCGACCCTCAGCCATGCTCCGGTCGTCACTACTTCCTCCTCTGATCCAACAAACTGCCTACTCCT